GGGGGGGATGGCCTGGAGACTGTAATTCCATGGGTGGGGGGGATGGCCTGGAGACTGTAATTCCATGGGTAGGGGGGGATGGCCTGGAGACTGTAATTCCATGGGGGGGATGGCCTGGAGACTGTAATTCCATGGGTGGGGGGGGATGGCCTGGATGCTGTAATTCCATGGGGGGCGGGGGGCCAGAAGCAGGGTAGTGGCAATTGTGACCTTCTTTAAAAAATGTATTTTGAAAATTGAATGATTTGGTTCAACGCTGCTAAAAATAAATTAGGAAATACCCAGAATAGGAAATTAAAAGAAACTACACAGAAATGTTTTATTTTCATTTTCTCAAATTGAAGAGTTTTAAGTTTCCTTTCTTGCTGACTTTGAAAAGATTTTTACAAAGTTAAAAAGAAATCAAAGTCTACACCAGGCAGCTATTTAAATCACCCAGGTCCCAGGCCCACCCCCACAGAGCTCTGATTAAATCATCTGAGACGGACCCTGAGCTGTGTATTTGCTTGTTTTCAAAGAGTTCGAAGAGCAGCTAAGGGGCAAGTCACACTCTAAAGGTAAACTCTCACCAACCGCAACAAAGCCCCCACAACACGACTATTTCCACGCAAAAGCACACATGGTGGCCGCATGAAGCTAACTTAGATAAAAACCTTTTTTCTTTAAAAGTCACATAAGGTACAGCAGGACTTACATTTTTGAAATCCTGCAAAACAAAATGGATTTAGGTCTAAGTCAAGGCTTTGTTTCAATCACGTCACCTGCGTTTTCTAACAGGTACAGAGCAACCTCCACATCAGCCGTTCCCGAGCGGGTGGGAGGTTGGCTAAGGGGGGCAGTGAGTTTGTCCCCAAAAGACATTCAGTATGACAACTGGGCTGAGGGGTGCCCATAGCATCTGGTGGGCAGAGGCCAGGACGCTGCTCAACATCCCCCAGTGCACAGGACGGCCCCCAGCCCAGAACTGTGCTCTGCACTAAACACCTGGCAGGGGCGGCAGCTATGGGCTCTCCGCCCTGCCCACGGGAGAATTTCATGAGGATGGCGGGAGGGGCACAACCAGCCCTTCTCACCAACTTGGGGCTGTTTCTCCATGCAGCCACGAGGGAACCCTCACCGACCCCAACCCTCCACAGGGTTGCACACGCTGCGAAGAGGTGACCAGCGCTGCACGCCACGGTCATAAACGCCACAACTCACGAGAGGGCGAGGACGCTAACAGCCAGGGGCCCCTAAGATGGACCTGACGGCAACGCAAAGCTGCACTTAGAACAAAGGGCTGCTGCGATCAACAGCACGCCAAAATGAAACAAGATGGGCATCACTGACACTCGCCGACTCCTCTAGGGAAGAGGCGGCACCTACATCACATCACAACTCGCAGTGTCCTGAACAGCACAGAGGGAAACAGTGTAGGGGGAAGCCAGAGCTTAGTTCTTTTTGCTGCACAATTACAGACTTTAAGAACATCTTTCTTCATTGCTTTCCTTCAGAACTTCCCTTCTCTCCTCACCCCTAACTACCCAGAGGGGGAAATTCAGCAATTCCTATGAACAATTTTGCAGAGTTGTCATCTGAACGGAGGAAAATCAGAATAGCCGAGAAATCTCTGGATCCCAGGCACCAGCTGAGCCAACTCAGAACTCCCTCCCGGCCTCAGGCAAACCCCTTACTGGCCAGTTAACAGCTTAGAAAACTGGGTGGGGGGGGGTGGAAAGATGATCACCCCATGTCTTGCAGCAATTACAAAAAACAAGGAAAATAATAACAAACTATAATTTCATAATTGCTTGAGAGAGAACATTCTATGCAAACGCCCTCACCCTGAAAACAATCCTATTAAATGTTTCTCCCTGGAAAACTGCCCATCAAGAGACTTTCCTAAACAGGATTTAAGAGATCATCAATTTCCGTCAATGTGACCTAACTGAACAAGGTCAGACAGTCAGGACTGTAACAGTCAACGTGGCTCACAGCAGCTTCTGTAGCGTCCGCTGCTGGTAGACTTCGTTGGTGCAGTATTTCACATATGGGTCAAAGGTGGAGGCCGTGTGCTTCTCCACAATGTCACTAATGTCATCTATGAAGATGCTGCTCTGGTGTCTCGCTTCCAGCTCAGTAAAGAATCTGCAAAAACAAAGAAAAGCATGGATACTTTCTTCCACGTACTTTAATAGAGGACGGTTTATCCTCACGTAAAACTATTACACAGGGTTTGAAGACAACAGCCCACAGTACCAACTCAAGATGATACCGAAGAAAAACTATTAGAATTGTGGTAAAAATAAATCTACCATGTTAACACCTTATTATTTCAAGTGTTGTCCTTAAAACATTGATAATCCTGGGCATTTCTGTGCTTTCAGGTATATTTTAGAATATATGGATTTCACTGTTTTTCAAGAATTCCCTACATATTTAAGGTTCATGCTGACATATTTTATTGCATTAAAAGCATACAAACAAAACTCCTAAATAAGTGCTTAAAAAACAAGTCTGAAAAAAACCTAATTCTATGTGTCCTTTCCCTCAAAATAAAAATAATCATATTATTTTAAATCTAATAATATGCATGACATTTAAATGTCTTCATAAATTATTTAGATTGCAATTTAGGGCTGCCAGATTGAGAGAGAGAGAGAGAGAGAGAGAGAGTCTACGTGTGAGTCTGTGTGTGTGGGTGTGTGTGTGTGTGCGGTATCCAGCCCAGCTGAAATTAAATTTCAGATCAATGAACAATTTTCACGTACAACTATGTGCCAAGGATGGCATGGGGCATCTTGGGCGTCCTGTATTTTATCTGTCAACCCTAAACTGCATCCAATTTTAACAGAACATCAAAAGCAGATTTTTGAAAGACGTTTCTACCCAGAGCATTGCTGCGCAAAATGTGGCCCATGGACCAGCAGATGGAACCATCGAAGAGCTCGTTAGAAATGCAGAATCTCAGCACCACCTGCCTGGATCTGAACCTGCACTTTATCAGGATCTCCAGATGATCCGCATGCTCCCTGAACCTTGAGAAGAAATGCCAGAGGACACACTCGCTGTCCAAGTTTGGAGTCGCAGGAAATCGATTACAAATCACTACCCCACAGCAGCAAAGCACTTCCAGAAAGCACGGTGAAGTTGAGGTGACAGCGCTCCCTAGGGCTGCCCTCCGGAGCAGGCATAGGGAATCCCGCCTTCAGGAGGCTCCTGAGCATATCCTCACTCCTCACCTGTGTGCCGGGTGGACACCAGGACACACAACACGGCTCAGAGTGAGCGAGACAAGAGACACGTACAAAGGACGATTCACAGTAAATACGGGCTAATGTTCTCCCACGTTCACAGCTCAGCTATTTTCAGAGAAACCCTGGAGCTCAGAAATAAACAATCAAGACTTAAGAGGCCGTGTTTTCATATATTTACATGTACATTAAACTCATTTTAGTATAAACTGTATTATTAGCTTGTCATCATTATCTATTTATTTTTTAAAGTTTCCACAGGAACTTAAAAGACAAAGAAACACATGTTCACTTCCTAGAAGAGTGAAATTATGTACACTCTGAGACAGCATCTGTATTTTTATTTCCTTTAAAAAGGACTTAGGGAAAATAACCAACACGATTCCCTCCCACAGATTATAACTGGCCTTCTCACACAAGCCCCTAGTTTAAAACAGTGAGAGGAGAAACCTACAGCATATTTTGCTGGACTACTGGCCTTCCTCCCAATGGTGTCAGGGCTAATACGCACAATTCTTAGACAGCGGGCCAGAAAACACACCGCTGTGTCCCAAGATTCAGTCAACGACTTCACATCACTTTGTCAGGATGGGGTCTGTTAACATTCAAACAAAATACCACATCCTCTCCTCAAAGTGTCAGCAATTTCAAAAACAACCAACTCCAAACCCCCACACAAACAAAAGCCATGTTTCTTAGAGGGTGTTTTCTTTTAGACTGGTCCCTGACTTCAACAAATTTGTGATCTATTAGGAAAGTAAGATAATAAGCATAGAAAGACAGCATTCTTGCACACGATTACAGGTTGGAACACATGTGCCTAAGGGTGCTGCTGGTGGTAGCTTTTTCTTAATTACATGAAGTACATATTTTTCATCATGGTAAAATACACATAACATAAAATTTGCCATTTTAACCATTTTTAAGTTTACCATTCAATGGCATTAATCACATTCACTATGTTGTGCAACCATCACCACTATCCATTTCCAAAAGATTTTCATCACCCTAAACAGAAATGCTCCACCCATTAAGCAATAACTCCCATTTCCCTGACCACCCCCTGGTATCTTCTAGTTTACTTTCCGTCTCTGAGTTTGCCTATTCTAGATATTTCACATAAGTGGGTCACGCGATATTTGTGCTTTTTGTCTGGCTTATTTCACTTAGTGTAATGTGCTCTAAGTTCAACCATACTGAAGCACGTTTGAGAACTTTATTCCTCTTTACAGTTAAATAATATTCCATTGTATGTATATACCATATTGTTTATCCACTCATCTGTTGATCGACACTTGGGTTGTTTCCACCTTTCGGCCACTGAGAATAACACTTCTATAAACATTTGTATATCAGTATCTGTTTGAGTCTCTGTTTTCAAATCTTTGGGGTAGGTATATATCTAGAGGTGGAATTTCAACCTCACTGACTATGCCAATAACAGTGTATAACAAGAAATGATAAGACCAAGAACCAGTACAGAAGAAGCTGAGTTACATGCCAAGGAGAGATGATTTCATTAAGTGAAAGTTGAGTAAGAAATGATCCTTTCCCTCCCAACACCCACGGCTGAGTGGCCCACGGGAGGCATGGAGCCAACTAACTGCAGCACAAGACCTGTAACCAAGGCATGCAGTGCTAAGTCCTGAGGGCAGGGGACTGAGGAAGGGCGTGAGGCGGACCACCGGCGATGAGGATGCACTGCTGGGAGCAGAGGGCAACCCTGCGGGCAGGGGAGATGATGCCGGCCACGCACGCATCTCCTTCGGGAAACTGTGAGGCTGAGATGTGGACCCAGGAGGAACGGGGGCAGAAAATGGGGCTCAGAAGCAGGTCAGAACTAGACTGCAAAGGTCTGACCGGATGATCAAGAGCTTGGGCTTCATCTGTGGACAGTGAGAATCTGCTGGCAGTGTGGAAGCCAGGAAATCACCCATCAGACAGAAACGTGGGACAGAGCGGGGATGGACAGAGAGAGTGGGGAGAGAGACTGCAAGAGGCCGAGAGATGGCCACCTGGGCAAGTGACCATCCAGCCTGGCAGTGGGGAATCCAAACAAGAGGACACAGGTTGGGGACAACTTGGAGGAAGAGTCGATAGAACAGAGAGATGCATTAGACAGGAACGTCAAGGTTCCACTGGGCAGCAGGCCGGGCTGTTCACCATTCAGGAAGACGGGGGTTAGGAGCCAGGGGAGAAGCAAGAAGGATGAAGTTTAACTTCGGCTTGGAAACATCAAATACACATCTGCGAGAATTCAGAGCCACAGAATTCTAGGAAGTATGGAGGCAGGACTAGCCCATTTTTAGCTTGTTTTCGTATAAATGCAAAATATTTGTAACTTATTGTAATTCCAAGTGTCTTGTAAGAAAATCTTCAAAGAAAATTGAAAAAATAAGAGGCCATTCATAAGGTCACTATCATGAAAATCTAAGAAATAAATATCTTAGAGGCAAATATCTCCTCAAGTCTCTCGTCTTTTGATAACTGTCACAGTCTGGAGGAATGCAAGATTATAACCAAAAACAACAGTCACTTGGCTTTTCCCAGTGAAAAGGAAAACTCATTTATCATAGTAAAAGGTTTGCCCAAGTACAGGATTAAAAGCAAGGTATAATGAATATGTGTTTATGCCACTTACTTTAATATAATATAAACCAGGCCACCCATCTTTTATTTTGACATTAGCATAATTAATATTATTTAAAGCTTTCTGGGTTAAATTATCTGTTGGTTATTTTGGCAAATCTGCATCTTTTACCAAGTGAGCTAAACTACAAAAGACCAAGGAAGTATTACTGAAGAACGCGGTGTTGTTTCAATAACCCAGAGCCCTGGGGAGCCAAATCAAACCTGGAGAAACACAAACCATTCTGCTCCCTGGGTGAAACCCAAATGGGTCTGTGAAGTAACGGGGCTGACCTGAAGGACAGCTTTTCAAGGGAAATATATTTCAGCCTCATGAATTCTTCTTTTCTGGGGCAATACCTTCACTATTTCCTCTTTGCAGCATTACCAAGATGATCAAGTTTCACAACCTTTCCCTCTCTTTTTCCCACTAAAATTCTAATCTCTATCGCCAAAGTCTAGACTTTGAGACACCTCTGATGGACCAGGAAATGCTTCCTGGAAACACGGCCTCCTGACCAGACACGCAAGTCAGCCCTGTCTGACGGTGAGTGCCGTCCCCGGCACCACCACACCCACACTTCAGACGCCTGCGGCTGCCCAGCTGCGCGGGAACCGCCAGACCACCGAGAACACCAGGCGGGCTCCCGGGAGGTGGGACTCTGAGACGGCAGCTGCAGTCCTCATGTGAAGAGCTGTCCACAGCCCGCCACCTCGCCTCCAACGCCTCCTAGAAACGCAGGGACTGCACAGTCCTCAGCCTTTCTGTGGAGCTTTGTCAGGTGAAGGTCTTGAATGTGGCTCTGCATCTTTGGGGAAAACAAAGTCAACACACTGAGGAAGCCACTTCTGACCCGCTCGGCACATGCACTTCTGTTTGTGTCACTTTTTCCTGTGTGGAGGAGGCAGAAAAGACCTACAAACATGAGGTCCAAACCTCCCCGCACCTTTCCTACCAGCCTGCCTAAAACTCAACTGATCATGTAACGGGCATGAAAGACACGAGTGTTCTTGATGACTCTTGAAGACTGCCCGGTAAATCCACCAGCCTACAGAGGAGATTAGAACTTATTTAACACACACCACAGGTCTGTTTTAATCAGTCAACCAACAGAATCCCTTCCCACGTGTCCAGGAAGGACGACACGCTTTGGTGGACGTCAGGAGCAAATAGTCGCTAATCACGACCAGTGTTCGCTGTTCCAAGCCCAGTTCTACGTGCTTCCCGTACTCTGCCTCCTTCAATCTAGTCCTCAAGCCTACTTT